AGGAGAACAAATCACTCATGTTGGTGAATGCCCTCTACTGCTCTACAATATTTAGTCAGAAAGCATACAGTACTGATAGAATATTATATAGGGACTATTTACTGCTTAATGAGAAATTAAACCCATTAATAAAAAGTAGGAACTTTTTTCTTTAAAATTCCTTTCCAACTTCTTCATTTATTGTTCTTTATGTTTTCTGCTTTTGGAGGGTGGTACTTTGGATAAATTAGTTTTGATAAACTGGAAATCCATAATTAACAGTCAAAAAGTATTTCTATTCTTTTTCATCAATGAAAATAAGAGTATCTTTTGATTTTAATAGGCATGTACCCGGTCCAAAAATGGAATGTGCCAAAATCAGCATCCTTCAGAGAGTTCTCTTGAAAATGTCCTCACTGTCATGTGATGTTAATGCTCAAAGACATTAAATGGTTCAATGGTGAAACTAGACCCCCGAGGCCTACAAGTCCTGGGTGATCTCTCCTGCTACCTAGCTAGTAGCTACCCAACATAAACAATCTTGTTTGTTTAGCTTATACATAGATATGTTGTACCTGGATGGAAACTTATATTTCATCCCATGACTAAGCACCTAAATAGAAAATACCCAATATAGACAAGGTCTAAAGGGTTACTTTGGGTGGAAATATTGGTAAGTTAAAATAGAACAAAATGCTGAAAATGTGTGAATCAACTTATATGTCTAAAAATTGTAGAATTGTGGAATGTTGGGAAATATCACCAAATGTTAAGAGTAACAATTGATATTTTTGGAAATAATAAATGACATACATACAAAATCATTATTATATCACCAGAGATCAACATACAAAGCTTTACATGAGGCCCAACTAAGCCACTTTTTTCATCAGCAACTGTTCAAAAAAAAATGGATGAACCATCAAACCAGACGAATGCCTGTACAATTTGCAGAATCAGAACTCACTACAGATGGTTTCATAATTGTATAGCACAAAAACTGGGAGATACCCAAAAGTATATACGGCAAAATAAATAATAGATTTAAGTAAAAAAAAAAAAGGAGCAAACAGCAAAAGGATCCAACCACAAGAAAAACAGACTGCAAAACAGCTAGAGGGGCCAATAAAAAAAAAAATATATGCAGAATCCAAACAGGAAAACACCAATCCTAATTCCTAACTTCTCTCCAAGTCTAAAATTTCACTACAAATCGAGCTAAAATCAGATTAAAAATCAACCAGAGATTAAAGAAGATAACAAGGGTTTTGGGAGAAATGAAGTAAACTCACTCTCTCACTGTCATTGTATATATCTGGGAATTTCGCCTTTTCTTAGAAGGGAGAGTGAGTACTCAGCAGCATCGATAAGGTCGGTGATGTTGTGAAGAGATCGCTCCTCGGAACCCAGCATGAAGATAGTACGGACCTCCGCTTTCCTGGCCAGTCTAGCCGCTAAGCTTAGTGGAAGCTTTGGCGAATTGAGGCTCCGTAGTATTTGGCGGTACAATGAGAGAACTCTCCCTCTGTTCCTTGCCATGTCCTCGGCCGTCGCCCATATCAGACCCCTCGCCATTTTCTCAGAAATCCCTCCAACTTTGGAGGTTTCTGAGAAGAAACAAGCACTCGCAGCTCACAGGTTGCACGTCACAAAAACCGCCATTGCCATCTCGCCTGTGCCTCAAATGTTCACATAATATCCATCGTAACACCGTACATCTGGAATACTGTGAGTGAGATCCTTTTTGACAGCACAGAGAGGACCCACCTTATGTTGCACGATACCCTAGATTACTAGCATTCCTCTTGCATATTTTAAGTTTAAATATCAATAAAAATAATTCTTTTAATATAATATTTAAAATAGGTTATTTTTTTTTCTTTATTTCAAGACTTTTTTTAAATAATTCCCGAAAGCCCCAACCACAGTTTTGGTATGCAAATAAGATTTTAATAGATTAAACACTATATCGAAGAAGAAATCCATCAATCGAATTGCAAACCTTTTCATTCATCGATGAAGGCCACCGTGAAACAGTATCCTAGAATAATATTGCACGGAGTGACGAGAGTCTATGTCGTTGCAATTCTAAAGACCTCTAAGAAGCATGTGCTGGTGATTCCGAGTAGAAGAAGGCCATGGTGACGTTGACAAAGAAACTCCGTGGAGAATAGGCCAAAGGAGTTGCCGCTGTCCTCCGTAATGTGCTCCACCTTTTGTTTGGCTACAATCTCAACTTGCAAGACCTTGGACATGTCAGATGCATCTTACTTCGCATTCTTGGCGACAAGGGCTATGTAGTCTTGGGCATTTTCATAAGCCAGTAGTAAGTTAGAGCAGCAAGCAATATACCAAACATCAAAACAAAGTGCCATATATAATCAGCTTGTGAGACAGTTGAGGCACCGGCGTCAATTTCATAAGCTAGAGAGGAGTACTTGGCCTTGATTGCAACAGATGATGATTGGAACCATCCCACCAGCTAAGATCCCAAATACTTGCATGGTGAAAATGGCAACAATGAAGGTGTTACGAGTCTTCTTGTTGGTATACTCGGAAATAGTCGTGGCAAAAAGTGGGTAGTCACCACCGATCCTGAACTTGTGCCAAAAGCGGAAAAAAGAGAGGATCGCCATTATGCCTTTTGGAGCACATCCAAAAGAAAGCCCTGAAGCAAAGAACAACATTGAGAAGAAGAGTCATTTCTAATTTGTTCTTCTGGTTCAAAATGCCAACGTGGTTCATTCTTATTGGTGGGTTCATAGGATGCAAACTCAGGAAAGAGAAAGATAGAGACCAGAGGTGGGGACATTTGTTCGATGGTCTGAACGAGGAAGGAGATGAAGTGTTTCTACCCTTTTTTGATATATACATTTTTTAAATTACCTTATTCTAGAAATTATGTTAGGTTATTTTTATTGATAATATGACATAATAGATGCCTTTATCAAATATAATCCCAACAAAAAAAATGCAAAAAGGAAGAGGGGTTCAAGAAAACTCAAAAGAAGATGTTTGGTGGGGGTTTATCCTATAAACATTTATTTGATAAATGCTACTTTAAACATTTATTATTTGGTTGGGCCTGATTTGGGCGTTTCAAGAAACAAGAAACATTCTCATAAAGTTACTTTCCAATTCATGTTTGGCAGTTTAGTGGGGCATTTCAAGAAATAATCATATGGGTGATTCTGTGTGACATATTTACTCGATATCTTAGTGTCATTAAGTTGAACCAATGGTTCAAATTACTCATACTTACACATAACGGCCGATTTTGAGATCCAACGGTGGATCTCGGATGCAAACTACATCCAACGGTCAAAATAGCTGGTATAGGTCCTCAAACCACCTCATTCATCTGGATACAGAAATCAACATACTCATTAACAAATGGATTAGAGTAAGGGTTGGGGTAATGAGAAAGAAATCTGTACTAAGGAATGGGATTTCCAAGGTGATAATACTTGTAAAGCAGATACAAATAGGGATCATCTCTTGTGGTTGTTTTTTGCTTGTCAAATGATTCTTCCTCTCATGCTGGTGTGGGAAGTTTTCCTACATTATTTGTTAGGGAAATTTTCCAATTAGTGCCTTGTACTTTGGGCCTAATGCCACTTTGGTCCCCAAATTTTAAAACACAATAATTCAGTATCCAAACTTTCAAAATGTGCCAATCTAGTACCTACCGTTAATTAGTCGTTAAGTGGCATTTGAAAAGACACAAATGCTCTTTGAGTTCCATCTAATTCTCTTTATTAACCATCCAAATGTTAACATAAAATGAACGGTCCCAAATCTTTGCCTCTTCTATTCAAGAAAGTTGAGATCTCGTCTTAGTGGTCATTTTATTGACCATAACTTTCTTGAATAGAAGGGGCAATGATTTGGGACTGTTCATTTTTTATTAACATATGGATGGTTGACAAAGAAAATTAGATGACACTCAAAGGGCATTTGTGTCTTTTCAAATGCCACTTAACGATTGGTTAACGATAGGTACTAAATGGAATATTTTTGAAAGTTCGGGTATTGAATTGTTGCGTTTTAAAGTCTGGGGACCAAAGTGGCACTAGGCCCAAAGTATAGGATACTATAGGGGAATTTTCCCTATTGGTTATGCTCTGATGAAGGGGGAGAAGGTTCCTAGCCACAAGAAATGCCAAAACAAGTTTCCTCAAGTAGAAGTATTAGACCATGTTTTACCCACTCATGTCCATTTTAGGTCATGCTTGGTTCATTGCTTTTGGCCCCATCCTTTTAAGAGAAAATGACCAATCAGCCCATATTAGAATTTTATAGCCCCATAGTACAGGGGGAATGCATCCTAACCGTGAATTGATGCCAAATTCACGGGCAGGATGTGGTTTATAGGGGGGAGAGGGCTTGTAGTAGGGGGGCTGGAATTCAAAATTCTGCATCGGGTGTATTCGTACTTCTCCGTTCTTTTAATTCTTGCTCATTCTCAATAAAATGAGTAAGAATGAATAACATTAAAGTGTTTGGTTATAAAATTCTTGCCAAGGGCCTCATTCTTTTTAGAATGAAAAGTCAACCCATAGCACAAAAATTGAGGTAGCCTGTAGCATGAAAAATAATCATGTCCCATCTTGCTCATTTTCATTCTTTGAGGAAGCTCTACCTACAAAATTGCTGCCATAGATGTTTAATAGCTAACTATTGTGGAAGTACTTTTACGAAAGCACTTTTATAAAAGTACTTTTACACAAAAACAACTCATTTTCATTCTTTGAGGAAACTCTACCTACAAAACTGTTGCCATAGATGTTTACTAGCCGACTACTATGAAAGTACTTCTATGAAAGCACTTTTATAAAAGTACTTTTACACGAAAATACTTTAATAAAAGCACTTTTATAGAAGTACTTTTATAAAAGCACTTTTACGAAAGTACTTTTATAAAGGCACTTTTACATAGGACACTTGTCAATCTGAAAAGAATTCATTTTTAGGAAAAAAGCGTTTGGTTCATAGCAATATTTTCTCATTCTGCCTATTTTTACCATTCTTGTCCATTTTAGAATTTCATCTTGGATAAGAATGAGAAAATGAAAAATGAACCAAACATGGCCTTAGGAATTTCATCTTGGCTACTCCTATTGTGGCCTTTTTTGGCCATTGTCTTAATGAATGGTGGGATGAATACCACCCGCTCCCAATATGTAGGTGGTTGATTGCCAATCTAAAAGAATCGTTCATGATGATGCATTGATGACACTCAAAGTAGGGGTGCAACTTTTGTGGGTTAGGGTTGGGATTTTGTCAAAATTTCAATGGGCCCAACCTGAAGCTTGAGCCCGAAACAATGGAAACTGTTAACTTGGGCCAAGTCGACTTGTACCCAAACACTCAAGCTAGAAATGAAGTATAGGCATCATAAGCTAATCCTTGATGAGTAGGACTAACAAGCAATAGACATGTCACATAATGGAAGACAGAAAGTAAAAAATCTTAATATCATCTTAATGATCATCCATGCCTTGTCCCAACTATATGGGGTGAAGGGGATGAGAGATCCATCATATGGACGCCCAAAACTTGTGGAATAAAGGGGCGAATTTCAAAAAATTTTTCTCTCCCTTCAACTGGGAATCGCATTCCCTATTTAGAAAATCATATTTTCAAGGATCAATCTTGAACCAGATCTGAACCAAAAAGACTAGGAGAGGATTATACCTGATACGGAGAAATAATATCTCCCAACGAAGGTGTTCACGCCCAAGGAAGGATCCAAAGACTGCTCCCACTGAAGATGGCGCAGTGCAGGATGGAGCAGAATCAATAGTGTTCTTCTCAAAGAACTCTATCCTTCGCAAGAAACAACAGGATGGCATGTGAGCACAACCTCCTGTCAATTCTTTCTCAAAGAACTGATGTCAAGATCGAATCTTGACTTCTCCCACAACTGGAGATCGAACTAGATGTCTGGCGACTGCAGGAAGGAGCTGACAAGAAAGATCTTTGCAGGGATTGCATAAATCTTTCTTCTGTGATTTCAGCTCCGAAGAGGATCTGATTATGTGATTCTTCTAAAGGCTGCCGCCCCCTCCTTTTGTTAACGTAAAAGATCAACTCTTAATCCAATTAGGAGCTGCTGATCCAAATATGATTTGGATCAGACCTCTCTTCAGGTGATAAGGATAAACCCTTATCTTATCTGCAGATT